TCTCCGGGACCCACCGCTTCCAACACCTTCGGGTGCATCTTTGGGTCGCCGGCCGATCGTCGACGCGGCTGGGGGCAACTTGACTTGGGCGCGCCCAGCGCATTCTTTGCACGCCATGGCCAGAAGCACCTCGCTATAACTTTGGGGCGCATGGGGGGCGGAGCGGCAGGGTGGGGCGGGGTGGTCGTTGCAGCATATGCGCGCCGCATTCGGTGCGTAGCTTCCGTGGGCGCCTGGGCGTCGATGACATAGCGGCGCGCCGTCGCTGCCGGGTTTGTTAGCCTGCCCTGCGTTTCTCAAGCTCGCGGAACTTGCGCTCGTCGCGATTGTTCTGGTTCGCAAGTGCGCCAAATCGCGCTGCAGTTGCAGAGCGTTCGTGCATCCGAGAAAGAGCAAGCGGACGCAGGGCGGATGCGCTCCGCTTGCGCGCCGGGCACCGACGCATCGGCGGCGGCGGGCTTCCGCGCCCAGGAGGCGTTTCCCGCGGCGACGATGCGTCGGTGAGACGTCGCCCCGCGGTTCTGGGTGCGCCGGCGCGCCAGCTGATTTCCATGTCGAATCGGAGGCGGCCCCTTCCGCCGGATTGCACGGCGCGCGCGCGCCGAGCGCGGCTGCGCCAAGGGCAACAAGCCTAGGCAGCGCCACGGAAGACGGTGCCTGCGCGCGCGATTGGAGCAAGCAGTGCCCCGACGGCGCGGCGCAGCCTGCGGCGCGGCGCCGACGACGGACCGAGTTCAATCGCGCGAGGGTGGCTGTGGATGGAGGGGGGCTGTTGCGCAGCGCCCCCTTCCTACGAGTTCGTCGGCGCCCGCTCTGCGCGGGCGTCGAGAGATGCTGATCGGCGCGAGCGCGCCAGGACCCTGCAAGGCAGCGCAAGATTTCACATTTGCAGATGTGGCTTCGAAGCGTCGGTTCGCGTTTTCTTGCCGTTCGCCGTGGCCCTGCGCAGAAGGATCGCGACGGCCACCTTGCCCCGCGATTGTCCGTCTTTCTTTTTTTTGGCCGCTCGGCCAGGGGCGGCGCGTCCACTTCAGCCGCCGTTGGCGGCTCGCGCCGCGCTGGGCGCTTGGCGGCGCGCAGATGAGTGCCCGCGCGGCCGGGATTACGACGTTTGTCCTCGCGGCGCCCGCCCGTCGCACCGCGCGGCGATCGGCCACCGCGGGCTTCGCATTGGCGCGGCACCAGGATGGCGCGGTGCCGACGGCGGAGTGTGCGTGGCGCACCAAAATGAAATTTCCAAGAATAAGCGACGCCGCGCGAACGGACTCGGCCAGCCGACACGGGCCCGGCTTCGCAAGGTGCCGCCACGCATTTGCTTTTGACGCCATGGGCGTAGGGGCGAAGCAGGCGCGCCGCAGCAGATTGGCAAGTGCCAGCTCAGATGAATGAAAGCGCGAGGAGCTTGCTGCCGCGTGCAATTTCACGTGGCCTTGCCGGCCAGAGTGTTCACCGGATCTGAGGCAGCCAGCAGTTGGCGCTGCGCTTGTCGACGCAGGCAGAGCGCGCGCAGGTCCCCGTGTCCGCAGGCAAGCAGGGGCAATCTCGCGCGCGCGTTTAACGAGCCCCCGCGGGCGCAGGCGTCGCTTTTGGCTCGCGCCGAATCGTTGTTCAATCGTGAGGGGTGGGCGACGGCGGTAGATTTGTGCGTGGCGCGACGCATGTCCATCGAGCCAGCGCCGCGCAGGGTGATGGATGACGCCCGCGCGCGCGCTGGTAGCGAATTGATTTGTCGGGCAGGCGCCGCCGACGTATGTCGGCGCGCCGCAGCCGCGCGAGAGCCACATTGGTCGCCAGCGCGCATCGAGTCGCTACGTTCGAGGTAAGTGCCCCGGCGCGCTGAACGCGACAGGATTGACCGCGTCGCAGAAGAGCGCGATCGGCCCCCGCTCGCCGCGGGCGAGCCAGCCGCGCCGAGCCGTGCGGTCGAATTCTTGCAGCGACCAAGTGCGGGATCGCGTACCCTTGCTTATAGTGGAAGAACCGCGTTGTTGGTCGTCGTCCGCAGGTTCGCGCTGCTTCTGTGGAAGCCAGCGCGCGTGCCGCGTCACGCCGGTTCTGCGATGCGCGAGTTCCACGTGGACGAAGCTGACCGAAGGCTCTGCGCCAAGCGCGGAGATCTTTCGGATCAGGTCGCGAATGATCTGCGTCGGACTGGATCAGGCGCAGCTCGCGCCAGTGCTCGCGGGGCGGTCTGGCCACTTGGTCGTCGAGATCATTTCGCTCGCCTCGGCTCCTGGCCAGGGCGGGGGCGGGCCTGCTGAGCGGGCGGGGGCGCGGGATCGGGCGGAGCTTGAATCGCGCGCGTCGCCCATGCATGTCTCCCTGCACGGCCCCCAGACCCAGTCAGACGGGTCGTGGGTGACTTGTGAAGTGTGACCAACTTCGCGGCGCCACTTCTCCGCTGCGCCGCGGGCGATCCGCCGCATGGGCCCACCGATTCTACGGCCTGCCACTTTTGCTTGTGGCGCAGGCCCAGCTGGTGCCGTGGCATCCTTGGGCGCCGAACCGCCGAGTGCGTTCGGTCGGCGACTCGTCGCGCGGGCGCGGGGCGCGAAATCCCGCAGTCTGTCGAGTGGGCGAGTGCTGCAGGCCCAGTGTGTCTTGACGATTAAGCTCCTTTCAGCGGGATGCCCCCCCGCCGATCCCGGCGCTCTGGCAAGCGCCGGTCGCGGGCCCGGCAAGGCCAGCCATCGCGCGCGCGAGCGGCGACGACGAGGGCGCGTTTGCGGGCGCGGGCCGAAAACAAGGGAAAACAATCCCGCGCGCAGTGCGGGGGCGCGGCGGCGACGGGCGGGGGCCGGCCGAAATTTCGGCGCATTCGGCCAATGACGCGGGAGAAACCATAAAACATGCGTTGCGTAGGCGTTGTTTGGGAGGCTTGCGAGGACAAGGGGGCGGCGCGGCCGCGCCCGACAAGGCGGCGCGCATTCGAGCAGGCGTCGCCACGGGCATCAAGCCGCCGATGGCGATGTCCAGAGAGGAGGACCCTTCGTCGGATACGCCCCAGTCTGCGGTCCTGCGTCGTTGTTTCCGTCATCGCTTGAACACTCACCCCCAATCCGCCCCTTCTACTTTGGCGGGGGTCGAGGCGATCAGGGCACGTGGGCGTGGGAGGGCGAGGGGGGGGCGACGGCAGGAGAGGGGCCAGGAATCAGCTTTCAGTGTCCTGGGGGTCGGCTGGGTGCACGGCGGATGATGCCCTCGCGCGAGGCCCCGCCACGGTGTCTGCGATGACATCCGCGCCTTCGTGCCCCGCGGCCAGACGCAGCTCCCGCGGAGCGACACTTCGCACTCAGGCCGCAGCGCGCCCCTGGCGCGCCAGGGGTGGCCAGCGCGCTGGGCGCGGACTAGCGCGAGCGCTCGATGACCCACTGCCCGCAGTCGGGGCAATCGCGCGCCCAGCCTCAGCTGCCCGCCGCCAGAGCCACTTCCGCCGCGAGCGTTTGCCACTCCGCTTGTCTGCGCGGGCCGCGCCCCGCGGCGCGGGCGCACTTCTCCGCGCGCGAGGGCGCGCGGAGGTGGCATCGCGCCGCGAACGGCGGAGCCGCGCCGCGCGAAGGGGCACGCGCGCGCGGGCGGGGCCGCGCGAGGGCGGGAGGACATCGACGCGGCGGCCCGGGCATTCGCGGCGACGCAGCAGCTTGCGACGCCAGATTGGCACGTGGCGCAGGCCCAGCTGGTGCCGCGGTATCCTTGGGCGCCGGACCGCCGAGCGCGTTCGGTCGGCGGCTCGTCGCGCGGGCGCGGAGCGCGAAATCCCGCGGTCTGTCGAGTGGGCAAGTGCCGCGGGCCCAGTGGCTGCCTGTCTTGACGATTAAGCGCCATCGATGCCACCCCGCCGATCCCGGCGCTCTGGCAAGCGCCGGCCGCGGGCCTGGCAAAGCCAGCCATCGCGCGCGCGAGCGGCGGCGACACGTGCGCGCTTGTGGGCGCGGGCCGAAAACCAGGGAAACCAATCCGGCGCGCAGTGCGGCGACGCGGCGGCGACGGGCGGGGGCCTGCCGAAATTTCGGCGCACTCGGCCAACGATTGGGAAGGGGTAAAACCGTGTTGTCCTATGTCCGCTAGGTTCTGCAAACCAAAGAAATCCTTCAAACAGGTTGAAAATAGGATAAAGCGTACATGATAATATTGAGGGCTGCATTGCTTAAAACTTGCCTAAAAATTGCCTTGTGCGTTTTTGCAAGCCTTCTTGATTTTTTGTTGGGCCAACGTTGTTGTGGTTTGCATGGCGACTAACCCCTGCGCTGTTATTGCCGACCGTGCTTTTCTTCTTATTGTCTCAATGTCCTCCACGTCCTCCTCCTAAGGCCCCTCGTGACTTACCTCATCCTCTCCCTCCTTGTCCTCGGCATCATTGTTTGAATCGCCCCCCCCCGTTGCCCTCTCGCTCGCTGTCGGTTTCGGCCATGGGTCCCAGGAGTCCAAAGGAGCGGGCGAGATCAAGAAGAAACCGAAATCCAGACAAGGCCGAAACCCAGGGCCCCCAGGACAAGCGCGAAAACAACAAGGCCGAAACCGACCTCGAGCGAGAAGGCGATGGGGGGGGGGCTCCCCCGACGAACGTTTTCTCTCCTCTCCCCCGCGCCGCGGGCCTCGCCTCGAGCTCGCCTCGCGGCGCGGTCGGCCGCGCCGACGCGCCCTAGCGGGGCGCGAAAAAAAAAGCACCCTTGCAGGGTGCTGAATCACCAGCACCAGAGGAGTGAGCGAGATCTCCCTCATCGTCTTTCCTCCTCTCCCTCCTCCTCCTCCTCCTCCGCCCCTCTCCCCTCCTCCATCCTCTCTCCTGTACCCCTCCCCTCCAATCCCCTCCCCATCTCATCCCCCCTCCTTCCTTCCTCCTCCCCCCGCCCTCCTCCCTCCTCCAGCCCCCCTTCCGCCGCCCCTCCTCCCCCTCCTCATCTTCAAACTCACCGCTGTCATACTACATCCCACCACCTTCCTCATCTCTCTCATCCTCTCTGGGGGGGCTCGCCGCGGGGCCCGCTCCCGAGCCTAGCGGTACTTCAGCGCGAGCTGGTACCTCTCCTTGAGCACCTTGTTGAAGCCGTCTGGCTTCATGGACCAGTCCTTCAGGTCGGTGGCGATCCCCTTCGCGAGGCCCTGCATCTTCACCTTGTCCTTCATCGTCTTGCCGTCCGCGAAGATCGCGATCATGCGGACCGTCGCCGTGGTCTGCCGAATACAGCTGAGCTCATCCAGCACAGCCTTCTCGTACTTCTCATCGCGCACCAGGTAGAACATGTCACACGTGCTGCAATACTGCTTGAGGCCATCCTCCACCGCCTTCGCACGCGTCTCGAAGCCTGTCGCGTCCAAGCCAGTGACCGTGTCGTTGTGGAGCTGCACATTAGCATTACGTCCTGCTGGTTCTCCAGCTCGCGGCTGAACTCGTCAAGTCTCGTTGCAAGTACACATGACTTCAAACCGCACGATCCCTGTCGATGTAGTCCTTGATGCTGTCCCGCTTGATGCTTCCCTGCTCCGTGATGGTGTCCTTGCTGTGGCCGATCAGTTGCATGCTCATCTTCATGACGCGCTCGCTCTCCTTGTAGTGGTGCTTGCAGTTCTTGGCGGCAACCACTGCTTCGTGGTAACTGGCGGTGAGGTCGGCCATAGCCTTGTCCATATCTGCCCTGGTCTTGGTAGTCGGCGGCTGGGTGTCCGACACGAAATACGCAGCGACGTCATTGACATTGAGCACCTGGTTCACCGTGTTAAACACAGCTTTCAGGAGGCCAGTGGTCTTATTAATCTTATCCTTGCTCTTGTCAGGGCTATGCTCGCCCATGAGCTCCAACACGCTGAACAACTCGACTGTCGCGCCCCTCAAGAAGCAGCCGTCTTTCTCAAGGTCATCCTCGACGCCCACCTCCCCGATGAGATTCGTCTGGATCTTGACCGCCTTCTCCCCGAACAGCTCCTGGATATCATCAGGCAGCGCGCGACCCTTGACAGCGCCCGTCGCGTGCTTCAGCAACTCAAGCGCTCCACCCTCTTGCTCGTTCAGCGTCTGGATGGTGCGCCTGAGCGCGTCCATCTTCGTGCTGACGTCGATGGACTTCGACGCCTTGTGCAACGCCGTACCAAAGCGCACGATGTTGTCCTCACCAGGGAAAAGCAAGAGTAGCTTCTTTTGCAGCGACTGAAAGGCTGTGATTGTGCTAAGGTTCTCAGCCGAAGAACCACCACCTGCTTCCTCAATACCACGAAGCACGATCTCTGTCGCATTCGATGCCAGCGGCAAGATACGCTCCTTCAACTCACCCACGCCGTAGTCTGGAAACCCTGCCTCCCAAAGCAGTGCGTTGCCCGCTAGACCGCACAAGACATTCCCGCACGCCTCCGTGGGCTCCGCCTTCATGTGCTGCATCTCCTTGTACGCATTCTTCATGTCCTTGCCGTGCTGCTCGATCTTCGGGATGCGCTTTAACCACATCTTCTTCTGGTGTTTCCAGAACTCGTTCGTCATAATGGCCTGGCCGACGATCTGAAATGGGCCTGGATCGTTCTCGTTCCGAGCTGACGCCGAGTCGATGTCGCGAATCGTCTGCCATACGTCTGCTCCGACATCCACCTTCAAGAACGTGTCGCCGCCAAGAACCTGCAAAGCATCTGTCACGTTCACGGACTGAGTGTATACCGACGCGCACACGCTGCCCAGGCATGCATTCTCCCCGATGTTGTCCCAAGCAGCGCGAGCTGCCGCTGCGAACTCGAC